ATCACAACTTTAATGTTGAGTGAGTCAGGATAGAATTCTGTTTTAGCCTTTGTAAAAGTGGACGATCATATTTATTAATATTTCAGTTTACTTTTTAATTCAGTCCACTGTGAAAAATGTCTTATATAATATTCTTAAAAGTTCAAAATACATCTGCAATATTCCAAACACACTTTTGATGGTAGTTTTGAATTTGTAATTGAGATCGAGTCAGCAGGAGTTTTTACTTTTTGCCCAATATTTTAGTGACTAAATGTGTGAACTGACAGCACCTTTTAGCTGGACAACAGCACTAGACAATAGGGATGTTGTAGGTAGATACTTCTGTTGTCAACTAAAGAGCACTGTTATTTGAACAAATATAGCTAAAGACACTAGCCAGAACAGAATAAAAAAATAATTTCCTCTTGATGATAACAAGGTTGACCATTCAGATGTATCTTAAATGTCTTCACTAATAATCATCCCCAAGAAGTGTCTCTTCTTCTACCTCTTGCATTTCATAGGCAACTACTAAAGCAAACAGTTCTCTCTGGGTGGCAAAGGTAACAGATAGTGGTGTCTTATAATGCACTTTACTAGTTAAGAAACAAATAAAATGAAAGGAAGATGTGACTGTTTCTAACAAGTAACTAACCTGCAGCATGCTTGATATTAAAAAGCATTGGGCAAATCATTTTTGTAAACATCTTTACCAGTAGCCAATGATGCTTCACAGACAGATCACAGTAGAAGTTACAGGGACTGTATGGGATGGGCAACCATCATCATGTGAATATTTGGGGAAAATGATGAGGCTCTTTTAATGGTTCAAGACAAAAACATATTTTTCTAAAAATCAGACTTCATGGTCTTTTTTTTTTTTTTTGGAGGAAGATTGGCCCTGCACTAACATCTGTTGCCAACCTTCTGCTTTTTTTTTCTTTTTTCTCCCCAAAGCCCCAGTACATACATAATTGTGTATTCTGGTTGTAGAGTTGTAGCTCTTCTCTGTGGGACACCACCTCAGCCTGGCTTGAAGAGCGGTGAGCAAGTCCGCGCCCAGGATCCTAACTGGCGAACCCCAGGCCGCAGAAGCAGAGAGTGCAAACTTAACTGCTATGCTACCGGGATGGCTCCAGACTTAATGCTCTTTTAACTGTTAACACTTTAAAGATTTCTGATGAAAACTCCTATCTACAACAAAATATTTATCTGCAAGAGGTTTATCTTTTAGCAAAAGTGGAAGAATGTTACTCTAAGCAGACAAGAATTTTATAACCCTCTTTACCTCCCTATAACAACGAAGAGCCAAGTAACAAGAACCAAGGGGCCTGTGACTTTTCCAGAGAAGAAGAGAGCTTCAAAAGATAATAATAAAGACATGTAGATGTGAATCACTTAAAAGAACAACTTAAAACTCACACAGAATAAATATTAAATTTGCCTGGTAGGTTTAGAGAGTATGTTATGTTGTAATTCACACTATACAGGAATAAAAACGCAAGGCAGTATATTCAAAATAGAGTCCTGGCATTTTTTTTGCAACACATAAATTGACATTTAAAAGTTTTTAAATACTACATAGAAATATAAGGAGCCTCACGCGGAGTAAATATCCTTTCTATTATGCGTATGTAAGTGTGTATGAGCAAGTAATTCAAAATCATTAGTCAAGTAGGTAAGGGTGAGTGGTTTATGGTGTAACCCAGAAATATATGCTATCAGTAAAAAAAAAAAAAGAAGTGAAATAGCTTAACTACTGAGTGCTAAAAATTATCTTGAAAGCAACAATACCAGGAAAGCTGAGAGAGAGGATTAAAATGGTCCTTTTAATCTGTTGTTGGTAAATCTGTCCTTTGTAAACCTCCAGAGTTAGATGGAGAGAAGATCTGGAAGTTTCCTAGCTAATTTGAACACTACAGGTAGTCAGTCCACATAATTTATGTCAAAATATGGATAATTTTTTGGCTTAAATATTCCAATTTGGACCGTTACACAAGACAAATTACCTTGCCTTGCAAATATCTACTTTAGTATGTGATACACGGCCAGAGTTTGGGAAAAAAATGACAGTATTTCTACATGATAAATTAAATTGGGGGAGTAATAAAATATTAATATAATGCTAACTATTTCAAGTTGCAAACCAGGTATATATACTTGAAGCCAAGCCATATTGGGAATAATGGCATAAAATACAAAATAGAGATGATAATAGTAACATGATTTTTTCCTTTCAAATGTTGCAATAGTGTGAAAGCCACTCTGTTTTAATAGCTTTCCTAAAATAATTCATTTTACATGGTAGTCTTGATTTTGCAGCTCACCACAAAATATATTTCCATAGTATGCTTTTCAAATAAGAACAGAAATATCAGTATATATGGCTGCCTAGGGAATAAAATATATAGCAAAGTAAAGACAAAGACAAGTGCATATGCAAAAAAAATTCATACTTTTGAGGCTCTCACATGAATAAAGATCTCAGATGTGAATTAACTATTAGGAACTTAAATTACAAAGACAATGTACCACTGAAAACTTATTTTAATTATCCTTTACTATTGTATGTACTTTTCCTCTATTATAATAACATGATTTGATTTTGCCTAGTTTATGTGCTACTGAATACATCCAATTTCCCTTTAAAAATACTCAATGGTCTAACATCACATAAAGTCTTTTAACTACAAGTTATAAACTTCAAGCATAATAAGTAAAGTAACTATTACTCATTCGTCCACCATTATTTATAACATGACATTATGTTTTCCTTAAGTATAATTACGTTACTCTAAGGATATAATATTCTAAAAGAATACAAGTAATAGTAAGGATGCCTAAATCAACTAGAGTGATTTTTCTTCAAAGACTGTATGTAAATAAACATTTTAAATATGTAATCCAATTTCCTGTTGACTTATATAATAATGAACAGGAGAAGTAATCCTACAGGAAAAGAATTCATAAAAAAAACCCCAAACAAACCAATTTGATAAAGAAAGGATCATTACAAATTCCAGAACTTGTTTAGCCTGGCATTTTTGTTGGTCATATTTTTATATTTTAGTTTGTATCTTGTTATTGCCTCTAACAGCAAACCCCAAAGCTTGTATAATATGGCTAAGTTTCTGCCCCTCTCTCTGGCTGCCACCCTTAGCAGGCTTCGATTACAGGGGGGCCAGGGCAGGTGTTAGCTATGAGATGGTCTCACTACAGACTCTAGCCATAAGCTACTAGTCATTATGATGGTCACGGAACAGGGGTGACCAGATAGCTATGCCAGTTAGAGCTTGGGTAATGCACGGTAAATTTATTTTCAACTTCGTGTAGTTGGTAATAAGTACATGTCTGCATAATAAACGCTGAAGGACGTCAGAAGTAGAGTAGCTGGTATTAAAAGAAAGCACATATTGTGATAACAAATTAAAATATTCAGAACTAGTATTCTTCAGTTTCCCATGAAGCTCTATTGCTTCTTCTCAAGGCTTATCCTTCGTACAGATGAAAGAGGTAAGTTCCTCACGTGGTGTTATGTAAAGGGCAGTTTCCCCACAATACCTCCCTCAAAGTTTTCCAGAGAACTACCATTTCCCACTTGCCGTGAAATTTCCATCATTACAGTAATTCTTTTGGGTTAGGTAAGAAAGATGGTGCTGTGAATATGGCAAGGGGATGAGCTTATCACATTAATGAAACGTAATGAATTAATTTATCAGATCAGCCAATTAATACTGTAGAAGAATTGACAGCTGGGATGGAGGCAACACTAGACGGTGAAGATAAATGTCCATTTTACAGTTTTATAGCTTAATGTTATTCAAGGCGAAAGGGACAAAGACGTCCACAGCAACATCCAAAATGCTGGCATCAAATGTACTATTTATGCAATAAAATGTTTGTAGTAGGTTTATGTTTGGTATGACTAATTGTTTCATCATACTCAGAAGCAAGGAAATTATGAAAAAAGGATCTCCCCATGTACTTTGCTACAGAAACTCATTAAAAGTTGCAAAGAACCATAATTACTGCCTGAACAATCTCATTATATTCTCAACTGGCTCTGAAGTTAGGAGCTATGGACTTAATCTACATCTCACTATCCAAAGGGAGATTCTTGATCAGTTATAGTTATTAAAAAAAAGTTATTTGTAAGCATACACAAAAAGTTTTTCTAATTATTTCTATAATTTCTACATAGAAATGATTTGTATAATTTTACTAAGCAATAACTTGACTGTAATCTGCTTTTAAAATTATTTTTTCTAAAAAATAAAATGCCCCTCATTAAAGAATAAAGCTAAAAAAATTTCTCAAATAAATTCATTTCATATGAGGAAAAAAGTTATCATAATGTATTAAGTTTTAAACAAATGTTTCAGAACTATATTGTTTGATTTTTAATAACCTTTTTAAAACTTTTTATGAATCTACTAATTTATAAAATATATTTGTATTCTAAATAACTGCAAACAGAAAACCTCCTATAAGGCAAGTCCCAGCACTAATCCATGATTCATTATCTAAACTTTAATTGGCACAACTCTTGAAATTCTGGGACCATACAGGAAATAATGAGTCCTAATAGGTCTAAGGTAAAAGGATGGCAGGGGAGCAAAGAAGCCAGAAAACTGTCAACTCAGAATGCTTAGCAACTGCTACACAATTTCCCCAGAGATCTGGAACAATGTTCTCAATGTTTTACTGGTCTTGCTATCAGATAACTAAACTGCATATTATTTCTCATTCTGTGAGACAAAGATTAAAACGAAAATATAAAAACAAACCAAAAACTAGTTTCCATAATTAAAAATGAAATTGGCTGACTGTTAATTAAAAAAGGCAGCAATTTAGAGTTACCATAACAACCTGAGGCAACTGCTGACTGACACTGCAATCTGCTGCATTTTTATAAATAGCAGTTGATTTCCCCTCTTTCATTTCAAATAGTTTTAGTGCTTACTGAAGCTAAGGGAACAACTGTGCTTTAAAACTACTTCACTCATCAAGCAGTGTACCTCTTCGCTGCTGTCACCGCCATAAAAATCATCCTCCAGTTGGGTGTCACTGCTTGTCACACTGGTATCCTCTTTCAGATCCAAAATAAATGAGCCCCCCTCTGGGGACACATTCTGAGTCTTTCCATGAGGTGCTGATCGTGGTCTTGATGAAAAAGTGAAAATGTCCTTTGCAACAATCTGGGTTTCCTCTGCCTGTTGGTCATGTTCACCTTCCTTGCTGGCTTCTAGCCATAAGTGTGACGTGTGGCAGGAGTTATCATCCAGAAGTAGAGACTGTCTGTTGGACGCCAAATGGGCAATGTGATGACCATTTTCAGGAAATATCCACTCATCTGACATTTGGAAAAGATGAGAAAAATTATAGTAGTGTTCCATAAGTGTTATTCTAGGTAGGTAGGTTAAAGTTTCTTGTTGTTGAAACAGAGATTTATCAAATAATGCAAAAGCCAAGGATGGCAATTTATCCACCACCTTGTACCCTGCTAAACATTTAACCCATAGATCAGTGCCTATAGCTGCGGGCAACTCATTTGCTCTTCCTCTCCATCTGAGTTGAAACACTGGCCAGGAAATTTTTAAGTCTGAAATAATTATCACCTGTCTTGCAGCAAATTCTTTATAGTACAGCCTCATTAATTTGATGTTCCAGAGGGGGAAAATCTTCCAAATTTAAAAGGGTTTGAGTTACTAATATCTTCTTTTAAGAGAGGACAAGAGGAAGACAGAGCACTTAAGTAATGAACAAGTTTTTTTAAACAAAATATCTGCGCATTTTTCAGATCACAAATCATGGAGGAGAGGAAACTATGAAAAGGTTGACGGTCTTTTTCTCTCCATTCTACCAACTGAAACAGGACAATTCACAGACTAAACTGAGTAGACTTCTCAAGTAATAGTAAATCCACAGAAATATTTGCTAACGTGACTGGTGAATTCTGCTGGTGAAAAAGACCTTTATGTTTAATTTTAGGAGAAAATGTTTTGATATGAAAATTTTTTTGCATAGCATTATTTATTTTCTTTAAAAAGACTGTATATTACCACTGAGATACATTTTTATCAAAATATTAAAAAATTTAATCTTTTATTCAACATTGACATAGATTTTATAATTCTATGATCCAGGCAAATTGGAAAGGACAAATCTTGATAATGAATATCATAAAAAGTATGCTTACTTTTTTCTTTAGAATGACAACAGGAAAAAGTTGAGCATTTTCTCAACTTAGCCTATTTTTCTTGAAATTTTTACTTTTTGCTGCATTATGTCAATGGTGAAAGTCTTACAAGAATCTGTGTTCTGTAGAACGACAATGTAGACATGGTAATTTTACCCCTGACTCTTGAATCCTATTATATTTATCACCACAAGAAAAGTAACCAAGAGATAGCTAAGATTTGCTAACTTGAAACTCTAAGGCCTACACTACAAAAGCACAAGCAGCAAACAAAACGACCTTTAATAAAAATAACACTGATGGCACAAATAAAATTGTATTCATCACAATTATATTCATCTGTTTCTTAACTTGAGACTATCATTATATAACATAACTTGCCTGTAAAAGGGCAATAAATGTCCATTTCTTAGAGAAAATCTATTAGGGACAAGGCTTTCACATTTCCAGGGACCGAGTCTGTAGATAAACAGCCAATGGCAGGCTGAATCTACTTCATCTGACCACCTTCACAGGGGACGTGGAGGGTCTGGAGTCAGCGCAGCTGTGGGCAGGTGAAATGAATAGATGCATTGGGCTGTCTCCTTGGACAGCGAACGCTTTTGCATGGTGCTAAGCACATAGCAGGTGCTTTGTAAACACAGTAGGTATTTTAATAAATGTTGAAAACGGTTACAAAAACCAATGTTGTATTATGTACATGGATACGTAAAGAAAATTGGATGAAAAGACACTGGGAATCTTCATCATGCAATTAAACAACTTGTATGACCTATTGCCAAACATATTATTAACAGTCAAAAAGTCAAAGTAAAAGGAGTGTTTTTACACCAAACAAACTCTAATTATCTCACTACCACATGCTTTTTTTGAATTTGTAGTTTTACCTCAAGTATTTCCATATCAATTGTAATGAATAATTTGGTGTGTTTTCCTAGGAAAATATGTAAATTACTGTGTAATCACAATATTGCAGCAAACAAGATAAATGCAAGAATGATCACCTAAACATCTAATTAGTTTTTCTACACAGTCAGATTTATGCTAGAGACACTAATTGCGCCTAACATTTTAATGAAGGTTTCAACATTGCATAAATAAGACTGACAAACTACAAACAATTTTCATTTATTTTCCTTTTTCCCTTGCTCAAAAACAATTTGCCTTTGTAAAAGTACCACACACCTGCTATAAAAGATATGGTGATGGGTTCAATGCTCTACACTCCATTATCAAGAGGACCGGAGAAATGCAACAATAGATAATCTTTGGGGAGGGTGACAATGTCGTGTGAAAATCTCAAAGTTTTAAACTTTTATTCTGAACAGGACAATCGGTGCATTAAAACTTGAAAATAAAAATACTCTTTCATCCATTAAAGTTTGACATAAAATTGAGGTTAAAAGGAGGTTTACAAAGAATGATAGATTTTAGCAAATGACTGCATCATGACTTTTCAAAATGACTTGGTTAGAAATGTTTAACATATTTATATTTTATTAATTATTAACAACTATGGTATAACAAAGATGCCAACCTGCTTGATCAGGAGACTGGCGTGCTGGAGAGCTGGGGTTCAATGTCTCTGCTCTTTGTTGGGACACAGTGGTGAGGGAGGTTGTTGCTTTACCTTCATTCCTGTTATTTCCTGAAGAACTGCCTTTATTGGAATAAATATGTTCACTATATTACTTCTTTTGATATTTATAAAAATTAATTTTTGAAGAATGGTATTAATGTGGTATACTTTATAGTTATTGAAAAGCAAGTTAGAGGTGACTACATATATTATATACAGTTTTTTTCTTTTATATTCAAACGTTTTAAGATGAGCTCAGCTGCATTTTTGTAGGGGTTCATCTTAAAATTCCTTGATATTTGCATGGGGACATTTTAGATTTAAGTTTTACAATATGTGATAAAAGGAATTCCAAAACCCATATAATTTTTAAAGGGTCCTATATTTTTTCCTTTGGTTCCACATAAAATGAAGTGTGTTTTCTTTAAATTACAATTCTTACTGAACTCAACTCTTTTAAACTAAGCTCTTTGCTTCAGCACCTTAAGAAAATGGATACAGGCATTATCGGACACAGAACTAATTTTTCTAACTACTATTTTATAAAAATAACATGAAACTTAGCAAGTTCAATTTTGGCCTATCCAAGAACCCTACATTTTTGAGAAATTATGCTAACAGATGTATGCATGATACACTCTGGGTTTGATTCAGGATAGACAAATGCATGTGTATACACATCTATACATACATGCCCCAAATCCAATATTTATAAAGGAATAGCTATAATAGCCATCTATATTTGTCTGGTGCTTTACTGGTTGCAAAGAGTTGAAATTTTAACCTACATTATATACCAGATGGCAAGGAGTCCAAAGGGAGAGAGAGCAAATGTAAAACAATCTGAAAAGGCCCAATTTAAAAAAGAGGAGACAGAAATGAAACATGAAAAATTATGAGTTAAGTTCAATTTTAGTAAAGTCTGCAGGCAGGAACTTCCTCTATCAAATTTGGGCAGTTTTTAAAAAACAATAATTTAAGCTTATTCAGCCTTTGAGAGTAAAAGTAGGAAGTCCTTTATTTCTTTGGTACTGTCTATTTAATCCAGCAAACCTCCGTTAAGGCTCTAGAGCAATTCTTTTACAGAAAATTTGATTTCCATAATCCCTGTAGAACAGACATTTATATTTTAAATGAATTGGTTCATAATCCTTTGAAATTTACAACCTGCAGAGAGAGATTCCATTGCTCTGAACAATATACAGATATAAGATAGGATGGAATTAGTGCCATACCGCTGGGTGTCTCTGTCTTTTCCCTGCTCGTGCTTTTCAACCGCAATCTTCTCCTGTTATTATTCTTATCTGTTGATGGTTCTTGAGGGGGATGTGGATGCATAGCATGTAGATTGGCTGGTACATTTTCATATCAAAGAACAAAAAGCCAGAACAGAAAGTACTATACGGTTTGAAACAATTCAGTAAATATAATGATAGCTATAACGAGAATGTTCATGTATCATTTTGACATACTGTAATGCCGTATCAAAAACACAATTTATTCCTTCAGAGGAAATAGATGTTTATTCCTATTCCAATATTAGGATTGCATCAGGCTTTCAAAATTACTAATACATTTTATTCATGCGATATAACTTTATAGTGAGCTACAAGTAATTTAATTAATGTTAATCATGCAAGATGCTATATTAAAAAACATAAAAAATGAAACTGACAGCCAATACAGAAAAACTATTTCTTCCTTTAAAAGAGGAAGTGTAGCTAAGTATGATTCAATAAGAGCTTAGAGGGTAGTTTCCAAAAGAACCCTGGAGAACTAAGATCAAACCTGAAGAATTCTTAAGTGTAATTTAATTCTGTAATAATAATAATATTCATAGCAGCAATAAATATTTACTGAATGATTAATTTCTTGACACAATATGATATGCTTGACTGATTGTTCTCATTGAATCCTCACAATGACTCTTTAAGGCCACTGTTATTTATCACTACTACTAGGGCCAGTAGTAATTATATTCCCAAGTTACAGATGAGAAAACCAAGGCTCACAGGGTTTAAGAAACTTGATCAAGGTCTCACAGATAGTGGTAGAGCCAGGACTGAATATCTATGTTATTCATTTCCTTAGCTCAGTTTTATACTCCATGGGAGATATAGTCTGTAACAGTGATCATTAATTTCTAAATCAGATAAAATGAACCCAAATGCCCTCTTTTCAACTCTCACAAAAGTCAGACCAGTAAGACTGGAAAAACTGACAGGGAGTGGTAAGCCTTGGGTTCTGGTCTCAATTCTTTCCAATGATTACAAAGTGCAAATCACTTTACCTCTCTCTTAGTCTTAACTTGCAACACATAAAATGGGACAAAAGTCTTTTGTTCACTAACAGAGTTGTTTTTGTATCAATGAGGGAAAATAAACAGCACTTTACAAATAGAAGAGATTAATTAAAAAAAATTTAAGAAAACGTAAAATGCACATGGAGTTTCCAAAAGATAGTGGTAATAAGATGCTCTATGATTTCCTCGCCAGTCATCATAAAGTAAAAACACAGAGTACTATGGCAATTTGAAATAATGGAATAAATAGAATAATAGGTTACAGAAGATGAGTATAAGAATTCTAAACGTATTTCAACATCCACCACCCTTTTCATATTTAAATGATAATTCTCCGAGTTTAAGATCTAGTCAAGAATATAACTTTGGATTTATCTTAACAAGAACATTTCTCAGTATTTTCACTAGCTATCAATCTTTGTGCATGACTCTTACCATGAATAGGTACAGTTTGCTTTATTTGGCGCATATTTTCTTTATCTCCTTGCTCCTCAGACTCAGATATCAGCAAGGTTGACATTTCTGCACTGTTAGCACACTTCTCTACCACAGACTGCTGGCAGGATCTGTTATTTCTGGACCCAACAGATCTTATTGTCTATAAGAAAAAGAAATTAATCTGTATATTTTAAAATTTAGGAATTGAATTTATTCCTGTAGACTCTACAAAGAAGAAATAATATTTAGACAAATAAACAGGGACAAAAAAAAAAAAAACTAGAGGAAATGGGGCAGTTAAAAAGTTGATGGAGAGGGAAATTATGGTAGAAAATTAGAAAGAAACGGAAGGAGAAATATAATGTGAGGTAAAATAGAAGACAAGCAAGTCTCCTAGACACGTAAGTTAAAATGTGCTTATCTGCAACACTCCACCTTGACTAGGTAGGAGTTGAACTGAAAATCACTGTGTATGTCAGAAATTCGGAGGAAACTAAAAACAAAAATATCACATTTGAGAATCTGTTCATTGTAAGGTTTCTGGTGGTGATCCAATTTCTTTTTGAGGGAGACCACAAAAATGTGCTCACATATATTTGCCTTTAAGTTTGTGAACATATTTAAAGAAAAGAATGCTCAAAAATGTTAATTGTGTTGACATGACAAAAAGGAAACAGTTTTGAAGTCTCCTAAAATCCAGAATTTCTGTTCCAAATTTACTCAAGCCTTCTGCTTTTGGAATGTGGTCTCTCTCCCCCTCTTTCTCCCCCTAGATAGGGAAAAAACTCTTCCTTTCCCAAGCCACTCATGCTTCAATAAGCTCTGCAAACCTTGCCCCTACCTCACTGGATATCCTCATGTTACTTCTTCTGCCAGAGAGTGGAGGTGGTCCAAGAACTTTGGATCCAAAGGCAATATGGCAAACGTCTTGATTTTTACTGTTCCGTACACTGCCTGCTCCTCTGTTAATGAACTGATCTGTTTTGTTAAAGGAAGGTAATCACAGTCCATTAACGGTGTGATGACAAACACCATGTTGCAATATATCTGAAAGGACAATCCAGGTGTCATATGATCCGAATCTTCCCCTCCCCCACAGGGCACTTATTAAAAAGGTAGATACTGGGGCCCAACATCAGATCTATGAGATCTGGAGAATTAGAATTTGTGGGTGGGGCGTTGGGGGGAACAGTGGCAGAACTCTACAATTTTAACAAGTGCCCCAAAGTGGTTCTTGTGCTCACTATCACTTGAGAACCACTACCACAAATGTTTTTCCTCAGAAAAAAGAGAAAAAAAAAAGAAAGAAAAGCTACTAAAAAAATACATCTTATTTTCTCTTAAGGAAATAATTTAAATAAAACTAACTCAATTGAACAAATAGTTGATTGAGCACTCTCTGGTGCATTTCCTAGAGGTCATCAGTGACACAAGCTAGATAAGGTAGTCTGGAGGGAAGTGACAGTACAGGTAAACAGGTAACTATAGCATAAGGCGGACCAGTGGGAGTGAAGAATAAATGACCTCTTGACGGACCTTGAATGACTGGTAAGATTTCAAGAATGAGAGGTAGGGTGGCCTAGGCAGAAGAAAGTGCCTGAATAAAGGTATGGAAGATGGTCGGGTATGCTTGGGGAATAATGAAATTACCAGTTTAGCTGGAAGGATAGGCTAAGGTCACACTGAAAAAAGCCTTAAAATGCTAAAAAGCCTATTCTAAATTTGGTAGGCAACAGGGAATCCCTGAAGGTTTGGGGAGAAAGAGAGCAAACGGGTATCACCTCCAGGATACAGCAGGTGTGCTCGCCAAACCTTGCTTCCCTTTGCTCTGGGCATACAGCTAAATTACATTCTGAGCCTTCCCTGCAGTTATATGGGTCATGTGATTGAGTTCTGGTTACCGGAACACAAGAAATGGAATGTGAGAAGTGTAAACCACTGTCTGGCCCCTAAAACCTCCTGCATAATCCCCCACGCTCTCCCTTCCCTCGTGTCTTGACAAGATGCAGGAGATCCAGTGGAGGACTTGAAGGTCCCCAGAGGAGCCACTAGACGAAAGGAGCCTGGGACTCCGAATGACCATATGGAAGGCTGCCCAAGGGACTCCTGACTGGACTAGGACTATGTGAGGTTCTTTGTGACTGCAGGTCCTTTGACTAAAAAAGCAGGTGCAAGTGATAGCCCTTTACTGAAAACACTGCCCACAACCTAGAAAGCCTTCTGCTGAGCCCCACTTGCAAGACAGGACCAACTTGAATATTATGATGTTGGCCCTGAATAAGTCCACATTTGTCCTACAGTCTTGAACATATATGACTTACTGGCCACTTTCTGTCTGACCTATTCCCCTGTCTAAAAAAAATTCCTATAGTTAGCTAATTGGTCTCATTAGCCTCTGCTGTAGAGCTGTAATTCTACATGTGGTGGAGTTAAAAACCACACCTATGCAACAGCATGAGAAAAGCCACAAAAGGTTGTGAAAACACACCCTGCTTAGGAAGTTCCAACTACTTAGATCTGAGTGGAAGCAATGTGTGTGGGTATATAGGTGTTTTTTGGGTCTGTTTTTGTGTTTGTAATAGATGAAGCTGAAGAGATGAGCAAGGGCCAGATTGCTGAACTGATCTGAAAGGATTTTTGCTGGACAGAAGATCCAAGGTGGCTGGCAGAGTGGTGAGGAGATACAGCATTCCAATTTGCTTCAAATTCTTGAAGGCTTATTAGGTAGACGAGAGATTCCATTTGTTCAAAGGGCAGAATCAGAACTAATGAGTAGAACTTACTTCAAGAAGCTTTTAGTCCAACATAAGGAACATCTTTCTTTAACCAAAGTGTTTCTGGTTCTTTTGGTGGTGATTTCTGTCATTTTGAAGGTGTTCAAGCAGAAGTCTGGAAAGCTATTCTGGATATTATAAGGCAGACTCAGATATCAGATGACTCCCTAATTTCTATGTCTAGCCTCATCGTCTCTTCTGAACTCCACTCCTTGTATCCAGTGGCCTCCTAACCAGCTCTTCTTCGATGTCTCAAAGACACCTCAAATTGAAAACTTGGTCTAATGAATGGCACCACAATCCATCCAGTTTGGAAAGTCAGAATCTAGGTGTCATCCTTGACACCTCCCTCCATCCTCTGCATATCCAATCCATGTCCACTTCTCTCCACCTCCTCTACCAGTACTGCAAACCGAGCGACCATCATGCCTCTCCTGGATGATCACAAAGCCTCTTGAGTGATCCACTATATCTACTTTGGCTCCCTGTCCCATGCCCTCTCCAATGGCTCCCTGTCCGATGCCCTCTCCAAAATGCAGCCAGAGAGGTCTTATACCAACAGAAATAAAATTGAATCATTCCCTTTCCTCACTTAAAATTTTTCAATGGCTTCCCTGCTGCTCTTAGGATTAAGAAGAAAGTCCTTAACACTGCCTGAAAAATCCTGCGTGTTCTCGCTTCAGTTCATACTTTATACCCCTCATTTTCTGCTCTCTGAACAGACTGGCCTACTCGGTTCTCCCTGCCTATGAAAGCATTTGCACATGCTGTTCTCCAAGACTAGAAGGCTCTTCCTTTCCCTCTTGGCCTTTATGTTTCAGCTCATGTATCACTTCCTTAGAAAAGTCTTCCCGGACCTTTCTGACTAGGGTAAATTCCCCAGCATAGATACTCCCATAACCTTTCCCTCACAGAACTTGTCAGAATTGCATTTTTACAATTGCATTTGTGTTTATGGGATTCCCTAATAATGTTTGCTTCAGTAGATATGAACTCAGTGCCTGCTCTGTCACCCTGCATTGCTAGCACCTAGCCCGACACAAAGTGCCTGACACAGAGTAATAGATCTTTGCTGAGCAAATGAATGAACCATTAAACATAATGGGTCGGCGGGGAAGTTGGATTAAATGACTAAATATTTCTAACTACGATTGGAATTCCATTTTAAGAAAAATCCACCTAAGGGTTTTTATGTGTGAATTGAGGAGGAAGACTGGACAGAACAGGACAATTGCCAGGATGTGGGGGATGCGAGAGAAGGGTCAACAATGACCAAGACATTGATATTTACATGAATGGTGTAGCTCTCAACAGCAGCAGTGCTATGGCACCACAATCAGATGCCTACTCAGGTTACATGTAAAATTTCCTAGTGTTAGCAAATAGACTTGGCTATGTGTGCATCTGTATTTTTTTCCAGTCATTTATAAACATCCATTTGGAGTCAACAAAACACTGTTAGTCTCTTACTGTTAGGATCAATAACAGAACAAAATGACCCTCAAATTCCAGGCCAATTGGAAAAATCTATTATTGACTCATCATTTGTACCTTTTGTGACCAAGTAGAACAAATCCTAGACTACTGATTTTGTTCTCAAATGTGGATTTTCCCAGAAAGAAATAGCCACTGAGGATCCTGAAGGGCTATATGGGATATGGCATCGGCCAACGTGGGAATTTTCAGTACCGGAATAGGAGCCTTTTTTTTTTTTACTTGCAGTCAGGGCAACCATTAGGGTATGGGCATATCTTTCTGTTCAAACATCTTACAGGGGCAATTTCCTTGATGTTTTTTCATATTCTTTATCTATATGCAGGTTCCCCCAATCAATTTAAAGCTTCTTTGAGTAGAAAGACCATTTATTTCATACTGTATGTACCCCCATCTGCTGAGCCCAGCATAGCTGGGCTAGACAATGGTAGACAATGGAAAAAATTCCATGGTAGACAATGGAAAAAATCTCACCAAAATTGTGGATAGTATCCAAGATTAAAAGGAGGATTTTTTTTTGAGGAAGATTAGCCCTGAGCTAACATCTGTGGCCAATCCTCCTCTTTTTTTTCTGAGGAAGATTGGCCCTGGGCTAACATCCGTGCCCATCTTCCTCTACGTTATATGGGATGCTGCCACTGCATGGCTTGATAAGTGGTGCGCAGGTCCACACCCGGGATCCGAACCCGCGAACCATAGGCCGCCGAAGCAGAGTGTGCGAACCCAACTGCTATGCCACTGGGCCGGCCCCAAAAGGAGGATTTTTTGGGGGGAGGGAGTATTTAAAAAAATTATACTGACACAATTGCAGCTACAATTCCAACAAAATGAGCATATTAAACTAGTTCATAGCTATTTAAAAAATTAAAATTCCTAAATACCTTGAATTTCTTAGAGGAATCTCTTGCTTAGCAGTGGATATCCAGTGACTTTTAAAGTTATACCTAAACTTGATATGATATACTCCTCTAAATCACAGAAAATTAGATGTTATTCTGTATTTTATAAGAAGATCCACTATAGGATTTCTTTAAAGAGTACTCCACCACCGTGTATTTAAATTCAAATCTATTTTTTAAATATTAAAAATTTTAGTACACTTTTTCTCACAAAGTATACCAATACTCCATTATTTAGTATCTCTTTAATTAACAGACCTCTTTAAACTTGTTAGTATAATTAACACAAACACATTTTTAAAGCCTGTTTCACTTCAATAATTCTCTGTTTATAATCATATTAATTGTCATAATTATCTCTATAAACATGTATCATGTTATGTATCTAATATAATAGGGTCCTAACTAAAATCTACAATGAAAAGCAATTTAGACTTTTGGTTCCTAAAATAAAAGGTAGAAGAGACAAAGGTTCTATAATGAGGAAAATCTTAATAAAAGAAAACTACAAGCAGAAATGCACGCCTTTTGAATTCTAAAAGGAGCTCTTTTAAGAGCTGATATCAATATGCATAATATAAGGTTAAAAATCAAGGTTAGATTAAAGTCATGCTCTAGGCATTTCATTTTCTCGAGTTTGCGGAAAATGAACTTGGTGTAGGTCAGAGATGTTACCATTAATTATTTTGCTATTTTACTGAGGGGTACATGCCTTTGTAGTTAGATTATAAAACCTGAGGGTCTACTCTCTAATTGTCTTTTAGAAAAATAAACATTCATTTTTGTCTCAAGATACAATGTTCTAATTATT